CCATCGTCCACCGGAATGCTTAACGAAAGCTGCCTGTGGAAGCAGATCAGCAACCCGACTTCCCTCCGCACTCCATTCGTCCGACCAATTGTTCGACCAGATAACCTGAATCGGCACACTTTTCAGATCATCCAAACCACCCCATTCTGCTATATCAAAGCTATGGTTTAACTTCTTTCCCATGCTAACAACCGCTCTCCGCCCGCCCCGACCCTTCAAAAGAACTCTATGAGCCTCCACATCCAAGGCAGCATCATTCCCTTTAGAACAACAGAAGTTGATCAACTTTGAGTACACAAAATTAGATCCTAAAACAACCTCCCTAGCAACAGGTAACTCCAAGAGCCATAAAGGAAGCGACGGGTTTGATAAGGTATCAATGAGAGTTAAGCTCCTCACAGATTGTGAATTCTCTGCAACCCAATATCCCGCCATTGACAAAGCTGAATCATGAAGAACTAAGTGCACAGGAGCCAAACCAACGGTATCTATGATTTGCCCCAAAATGCTACCAATTTCTTCAGGACCTAACCCAATTGGTTTCAAAATCTTCCTCTGAGGAACATGTTTTTGAATTTCTTCATAAGGAATCTGCCCTGTTTCAATGATCTGATCAAATGCCCAGAAAATACCCTTTTCATGAATCAAATTATAGACATCCAAAAGCCTCCCAAAAACCCCATTTGAGCTCTCATCGATCTCAGCCGTGGATTTGTCGGAGAAGCCATTGCCGGGCAGATCAAATGCCACAGCACGAACTCCTTTGGAACCTAATGAGTCCAAAACCTTGCGAAAAGAGTAAGAGCTCAGCCCTAGTCCATGAACAACGACGACATTCTCATTCCCTTTTGCGCCATTTTCAACGGCGAAAACTTCTATTGGAGATAAATTGGGGCTAACCTGTACCTTTAGAAGACGGCCCTTTGAGTAATGGTGACGGAGGCTCTTGGGTAAGCTTAAGAACCAGGATTTGGGGTCTTGGGGAGAGAGAGAAGGAAAAGAGATGAAGAAAAAGGTTATGATAGACACGATCAAAGTGAAGTAGAACCAGAAGGTGAACGGATTTGGGTTCGGCGAGCGAAGGGTTTTTGAGGTTGCGGCGGCGGTGCTTGACGGCGGCGGCTTTGAGGACGAACTTGATTTGTTGGGTTTGGGCTTCGACGCCTTTGGCACTGGCTCGTCTGATTCTTCGGTAATGGTCACCATTGATGGCGATTGGAAAGGTTGTAAAGGGAAGCTCGCGTGAACAGGAAAAATGGATCAGGGAGGGGAAGAAATGGGAAATGGAGAAATTGTGAGTGATGCAGGAAATGGTATGAATTTGGTAAAGTTGAAATCGATCTGGTCCGAGGAAGAAAGATGAATATCTTTTTTCAGAAAAAGTATCATCCACTTTAGGAATTGGGGAAAGGTCGAAGGTTTAAATCTTTGGTTCAACTTGTTTCTTCAATTATACAACGATTTAGCTATGATATAAATCATAAGAACTTTATAGGTTATATGAGCATAGGCTTGATATTAATATGTCATGTATGTTAATTATAAAAGATATGTCGAGTATATGTATGTATATCTCATAGGAATATTATGTCATGAAAATAAACTAAGGTAAGGCTTGCCTGAAGTATGTACCATGATTTGAAACAATGGGACTTAATGCATTTTGTATGTTATGTATATCGTGATACTTTCCTGTAATGATTAGTACGGACGCGTACATCATGATGTTATACATACTTCATTCCCTATGTGGTTTACGGTAGCATGAGCATGCTCTAATTCATAGCCAGGCCAAGAGGTATGTACGTACACATACTCCTTTCGCTAGGATTGTGTCCAGCTAAAAGGGTGACATTTTTTAACTCCTTTATTCAATATAATTTTCTTTCTTGGGGGATTACCTTTCCTTCCGGTCCATCAAGATACTAATAACTTCATTCAAACAAGTAGTGGCCCTTACTTGTGCTTCTCTCCACGTAGCTTCATTAATTTATCCTTCATTTCCCCTATTTTGGTTCATGATTGTAGAAACAGTAGTTGAATATGTTTAGGATCTTACCTACTCAACTCACTGATTTTACACTCAAGAACATTGTGTTTATTACCCACAAACGTCGATTATTTGGAAAAATGACTAAATTATGACCAAAGTAGACAACATATGATAAAACAATTTTTAATAGACTTATTCAAGGAAACAAGATAAGATAATTATGAAATAAGAACAAAACAAAGAAATGATCAAATAAATAAGGGACACAGATATTTTTGGATAAAATTGCACATTATGACTAAATGTCCTTCTTCAATATAAAATATCTTCGAATTTGAATTAGGATAGAAAAATATCAAACACAAGTGTTAGAGATTTAGATGGTATTACTTGATTTCATGATAGATATGCTTTTACGTTTCTTGTTGTGTCAGATACGGGGTGTATGACTCGTCACTCAAATCATGTCTACACCTGTCAAGACTAAAATGCCTTAAAATGTACTATAGAGAATGTGACTAGTTGTCAATTCTTCCTACTCGGGTTATATGCTATCAAAGTAGTGGTTGTTACTTATTCGTTTTTAGGTTATATCATTAATTTCTTTCAAATTATTTTCAATACATTTCCTTGCTCGATGTTTTCTAAAAACATCTCTCTCAAACGTGATTCGAGGCTCGAGCATCTCCAATATTGTTTGCGAAGTATGAATCTCACATGGCTAACTCGTTTGCTGGTTTAGAACAAGTGTCGCACAATCGTTATTCTACTGCTGCAAGAGTGCGATTGTGGCAAGTGGTATCAGAGCTGAGTTGACTCCTTGAATTGTAGTACACAAACATGACTGCTGTAAAACAATTGGGCAAGTCCCAGGCTGACCAATTGGAAGTGATCGAAGATTAGTTACTCTACCTAAGTAAAGTTCCTGATGGAATGGGGCTTTTGAAGTTTCGCATGAATGAGATTGTCACTAAAGCCCGTTAAAGATATTTAGTCATAAATTATGGTTTAACATGTATATCATATTTGACCATTTATTACATGCAAATATGTGGTATGATTGAGAATATTTAGTCTTCCATCATGGTTTACCATAAGTATCATATTTGACATTTTATTATCGGCAAATATCTTATATCCATTTATTACTCTTTACATTCTTTTGTAATTTATTTATTTTATAAATGATTATAAACAGAGAATTTCATCACCATTTAAGTAGGGTGATTTTAGCAAATATTCTCAAAGCCAACAAGATGGACAAGATGGTAGGCCGCCTTGAGGCAATGAGTATCTTTAAATTAATGGTTAGGGTCGAGACCCTAGAAGCAAGGGCACAACTGCTAGTGGCTTTGAGCATATGGATAGCTCGATGGGTTGTTGCTGAGATAGAGGATGCACATCGATTGCTTAAACAATGCCTAATAGGTGATCCTTCAAATGGTCTAAAAAATGTCTAAGGATTTAAGAGTAATTCTTGGAGTGGTTAGAGCTGAGGTGGTAGTGTCGGACTAAACCTCACCAGGAGAGGGTAGGGAACTAAACCCCTCGGGTGTAGTCCATTTCAACAAGATAAAGGTCTTGGAGCTCAAGCCCTTTTGTAGGGTTTGAGATGCCAAGACTTTAGAGAACTTTATCTTTGACCTCAAATAGTACTTTTGAGCCACAAATACTATGGCAGAAGAAGTGAATGTCACGTTGGCAATAATACATCTTGTCGTTGATGCAAAGTTGTGGTGGAGACCTAAGTACATGAACATTGAAGATAGTCTATTATTCCGTGGAAACTTGGGAGAGCTTAATACAAGAACTCCGCTTTTAGTTCTTCCCAAAGAATGTTGACATAATCGCAAGAAGGAAGTTCAGCTGAAGCATACTGGAAATATCTGAGCTATGTCAAGTGGTTTTATGAGCTTAGGTTGGATATTCGTGACATGTCCAAGAAACTCAAGATCTTTAGTTTTGTTGAGAGGTTGAAGCCGTGAGCAAAGACCAAGCTTACCGAACAAAGGGTCCAAGACCTTTCCACTACCTATATTATAGCCAAACAACTATTTAACCATAGCAACAATCAATCCCAAGATGAAAGGTGGAAGCAGGCTTCCGTAAATGGAGGGAATAGAAATTACCGACCCAACTCCCCCAAAGGTGGGAGAGGTGATCGACTTGAAGGCAGAGGAGGAGCGAGTCTCAATAGAAAGGTAGAACTCAATTGCAAAAAGACTCTTGTCAGTGATCCCCCAAATAACCTGAGCTAACTGGGAAGAGATCCTAAGCCAATAACTTCATTTGGGGGGAGGGGAGAAGTAACTAGTGTTCGCTCATAAAGACCATCTAGAGGGATGAAAAGCAGTCAAAAGCATCAACCACGACAATTTCAAAATGGAGTTTGTCAAAGTTGAGGTCAGATAAACTCCGAGTTCAAAGTAGCAAGAAACAACGATTGATGCGAAAATTCTATGAACCAGTCGAAGTTATCTACAAGGTCGAAAATACTATGGATGTGGACTAGCCCTATTGTTCACGTCAATAACTTGAAACGTTACTATCCCGACCAAGAAGACACCAAACACAAGGAGAAGATGCAAATAGTTGGCAAACCAAGAAGTGGTTTTCAACCGTTTCTGACAAATTGTAAGAGACTAAGATCAGTTGGAAGCGCATTGAGAGACCTAAAGTCAACCTCATCCTAGATTGCTAGAGTTCATGAAAAGTCGATTGATAGAGACATCAACCAATTGAAAGGGGAAGGATGTCCCGGTCATGGTGTCCTATGCATGTTGCTTATGGCCGCGTGTCGGATGTCCCGATCATGCTTGTCCATGGGCGCATGCCCATTCCAAACCACTTTTAATGAAGTTTTTTTTTTTTTTTTTTTTTTTTTTGGGGGGGGGTATAATTCTTCATTAAAAATAAATGGTAAATTTTGTTTGATTAGAAGTGAAAGTGAAGGTAGGTCGGACACTGTAAACATCTGGGTGGACATCTGTACTTTAAAGTGAACCATGATAGGGAACCCTCTTTTTCAATTTCCCCAATCGCCATTTCCGTTTCCATTTCCATTTCTCCTCTCCTCTAACAATGGCGGAAATCGGCAAGAAGTTGAAGCTCAATTCCGGTTGGCTTGCTGCGAGGTCAACAGAGGTCGAGCTCAGTGGAGCCCAGCTTACTACTACTCACCCCCCCTCAATCGGCCCTTCTTCGCCATGGATGGAGGCCGCAGTACCTGGAACGTAATTCCCTCTTCCTTATACTGTCATTTCTCTGCATTTCGCTTGAAATTGATTTCTAAACCCTCGTGGTTGCTGTGATTTTGAATTGGACTGAAATAGAGATTGTAGGCTTAGACTTTTTACTACGACTAGCCCTTTTTACTAGCAATTTTGACCTCGAGAAAGTCAGAAAAATGGAAATTCTTGCTAGTTTCTTAAAGATTTCCATTTGTGAGTAGCTACATTACAAATTTGTATTTGATCCCCAAACTTTTAAACTTCAATTTACTTCTTTACCTTTTTGAGTACATTGAAATTAAATATCTAATTGAAAATTTAATACATAATCCAGTTTCATGGCTGATAGATCGGTTTACTTTTAAAATTTTTAGTATTCAAGACATCTATTAGACACAATTAAAAGTTTAAGCACTTGTTAGAAACATTTTAAAAAGTGTTCTTGAACTTTCGAAATTTAGCGATGTATTATATATAAATTTGAAAGTTTAAGAACACTTTTTAAACTCGAAAGTTACTAATTTTGAGTTTTAACCTATGGATATATAAATAAGTTAATCTACAGTTGATCACAAGTTACAATGTTGATTTATTAATTTACATTTGACAGTGTGTTGGGGACTTTGGTGAAGAATAAAGTTGTTCCCGATCCTTTCTATGGACTACAAAATGAAACGATAATTGATATTGCTGATTCTGGAAGAGAGTACTACACATTCTGGTTCTTCACAACTTTTCAATGTAAACTGGTAAGTGGCTTGAGAATATTTCATGACGCCTGTGCCTTGTGTACTCTTTTTTTCCTTCAATGAGGTTTGTTTTATCTCTTTAGATTACTGGACTTGATGACCTTTACAGCCTACTTGAGCACAAATATTTATTTATTACATTTTAAACCGCTCCCCTGGTGATTATGTTGTTGTCCTTGGTTGTGAGGGCTCTTTGTCATATGAATAAATTTTCTGAGTACTGCTTGACCTGAGATGTTGAATAAAGATCTATTTGACCGGGCGAACTTTTGGCTTTCCCCGTCAATTTTGCTTCTAGGACTAGTTCTGCCTGTTCATAACCTTCTGGCCTTCTCCTCAACTTGCAGTCAGAATCTCAGCACCTGGACCTGAATTTCCGCGCTATAAATTACTCTGCAGAAGTGTATATAAATGGTCACCAAAAGGTCCTGCCGAAAGGGATGTTTAGAAGACACTCCCTTGATGTGTCTGATGTTATGCGTCCAGATGGCACAAATTTACTAGCTGTTCTAGTCCACCCTCCTGATCATCCGGGCAGAATTCCAGCACAAGGAGGTCAGGGTGGTGATCATGAGGTATGTAAGTCCTCCTCCTCAACTCTACATCCGAAGGATTTAATATTAGATGTTTTAATGCTGCCTGATATCTTATATTTTACATTAGATTGGAAAAGATGTCGCTGCACAATATGTCGAGGGTTGGGATTGGATGGCTCCCATAAGGTGATTTACTTGTGTTTATGAGATTATATATTTAATTCATGTTCTTTTATCTCTTCATGAATAATATTTCATATGATATCTACGTTTACTGCTACTTTCTTGGAATAATCAGACTAATTATTTTAATAGAAGTCGTGGAACAATTCTACGCATCATCTATTTCTACTCTTAGATACACAATCAGCAAGCTAGATTTGTACAAAAATGTCTCAAGTCTATATACTGATGTTAGAGAAATAATGCTGTTCATTGAAAATGGATCCCTGTAAGAATAGGAATATCGAAATTCAAGAGTTCTAACTAGAGAAGCATTGAATTATCAGATTCAATTTATCATGTTCTAGCAGTTAAGTGAGGGCACTAATTCTTTGCATGGTGGGTTGAAGAAAAAAATTTGTTGGAGAGAAGTTTGGAAAATGAGTAAGTAATTAATGTAAGATATTCGTGATGAACTTACTTGGATAGGTTCTGTTCTAAGTTTAGATGTAAGATATTTTGGGTAATAATTAATGTTTAGTATCTCTCTCTCTCTCTCATGCATAACAAAGTGTACCATCTTTTAAGATAGAGCTTTTGTAGTGTAAAGTAAGCAAATTCTTAGAAAGTATAATTCATAAATCAGAAACACTTTTTTCCCTTACCTTTTCTATTATATATACACGATCATAAATATATGAAGCTTGTCACTAGGTTCTAATTTACTGTATGCTTCAATGCTAAAAAATGGTATACTATCATCTGATTGTAGTCAAAAGAAGAAAGCATGGAAATGATGCGTATGGTAAAGTAACAAAGTGAACAAGTTACTTTGGTGTATCTTCGAACTGAGACACAAAATTTATGACTTTATTTGTCTTTAATGGGTTGCTAACATTTATATTCTGTTCATGTATGACAACTGTTTCCATTTTCTTGGTTTAAATGCAATATCTGGCTAGACTTCAGACTGTAAATAAACTGAAACGTATATTGTTCAAATACTCATTTACTGGTAGGACTAAAACTAGTAATAATTGAAAATTTGTGTGTATGTAATGCCTTTTGGTGTTTATGTCGCTACAGGGATCGAAACACTGGCATATGGGATGAAGTATCAATTTCTAGGACTGGGGTGAGTTTCATTTGAAGTATGCCTCTTCTTATCTGATTTGGGTTTTAATCCTACTTTAGTCTCTGAACTTTTGTACTTATTCCCCTCTGGTCTTGAAATTCTCAACGATTCTATCTTAGCCCTTCGATTTTTATTTTTTCAGTTTTAGTCTCTACACCTTCCATAAGAAAACTATTTCTACCCAGTCCACTAATTTTTCATTAATAATTAACAAAATCCTAAATTCATTTGAAAATCCAGCTCATGGCTGTGCCTTTTAAGTGAAATGTTAATGAATATGGTTGTGTCTATTAAGTTACTATATTTCAAAAAGTGATCCCAACACTTCCAAGGTTGTATCAATCAATTTCTTTTATCTCAAAAAGTCTTTGCTAGACTCCTAAACTTTCAATTTCGTGTCTAATAGGTCTTTATGTTTCAAATGTTTAACCGATAAAGTTAATAATGAGGACATACTAGACACAAAATCTCGAAGTTTAAGAACCAATTAGAAATATGTTAAGTCCAACTCTGAAAATTCAGAGTCAAACTTGTAACTTAACTAATTTTTTAAAGATCAGTGACGATGAGTAAAATTGTTTATTATTTGAAAGTGAGGAAAGAAACAAATTAATTGAACATTCGGGGAACGAAATAGAGTAAATATGAAAGCTCATAGATCAAAGTAGGAATCATACCAAATAATCTGCTGGCAGCTGGATCAAACCATGGCTTAGTGGTTTACTTTTTGTTCTCTACTAAACTGATATGTTCTATTTATTCTCCATTTTGTATTTTTGTTTCTATTGTGTAGTTTCAATTGTGCATGCATGTTGAATAAAATAATATACACTCAAAGACTTAAAAGGTTTATTTCTTGAGTCCTACATATTTCTAAAGCATCAAACATAGATAGAATTACCAAACAATCTTTCTATTTCGCCTGTGAATTTCACTGAATGCTCTTACTATGTGGTATGTCTGTATGATTGGGTCTTTTCATCTCCTTATTATGTCATTGCTGATTTTCTCCTCTATGAAAAACATTCCTTCCTATTTGTTTCTAATGTTTGAAGGTCGTATGTTAATGATTTCTTTTTGAACAGCCAGTGAAGATTATTGATCCTCACTTGGTATCAACATTTTTTGACGATTATAAGAGAGTTTACTTGCATGCTACGTTGGAGATGCAAAACAAAAGCTCTTGGGTTGCAGACTGTTCTGTGAACGTTCAAGTGACCACTGAACTAGAAGGTAACATTTGCTTGGTTGAGCATATTCAGTCTCAGAAGGTGTCTGTCCCTGCTGGATCAACTATACAATATACATTTCCTCAGGTTGGTAATTACATCTTTCTTTGATAGAATTTCTGTATTTATCTCTTTATTGGTCCTCAATATATATATTTTTTAAATTGGTATGAGAGGTCCCACTCATCATGCCACTTTGTACACTCCAAAGCTAGCTTCGGGAGACAGATTAATATTTGAAACCTTTAAGTTTTGCACCTCCTCTTGGTGGTGCTCAAACCCTAGGAAAACTTCTCTAGTCCTCCGTTATCCTCTTCGATAGATTTCACCTTTTAGTTGATGTAAGTTTGAGGGGTAATGTTTCTTCATATATGTGCTCTATACCTATATGTAAGTTCCACTGCTGATACTGACCATGTATGGAACTAAACAGAGAAGAAAAAGACGAACCGCTAGGGAAAAAGTGACGTTCACATTCTTAATTAAGAAACAATAAGCTAGTGGTGAAGAAAGAGAAGCTTCGCTTTAGAAGAGAACCACTAGGTAAAACTTGAGATATTCCTAAAAACTGAAAGAATATCATTTACTTCACTTCTTTCTCAAGATATTTGCTGAGACTTTTAGTAATGGAAGTTGGTAATTCTGAATTTACTCTAGGTTACTATGTTATTCTTTATAGTCTGATGGTTAAACTGTAAATAGGTTAGTTAGATACACATTAGTCATTCTTTATAGTCTGATGGTTAAACTGTATTATAGGTTAGTTAGATACACATTAGTCAGGCTCATAACTTCTGCTCAAGTAATTTTATGGTGAATGACAGCTCTATTTCTACAAGCCCAACCTGTGGTGGCCGAACGGAATGGGAAAGCAATCCTTATATAATGTTGTTATATCCATAGACGTAGATGGATTTGGAGAGTCTGATTCCTGGAATCATCATTTTGGTTTCCGTAAAATAGAAAGTGATATTGATACCGCAACTGGTGGAAGGTACTTTTTATGTTAATTTCACATCTATGCTTGATCAAATTTCTTTTGGTCAGATTGTTCTTGTCCTTCATACCATTTCTTCTTTGCAGGTTGTTCAAGGTCAATGGGCAGCCTATATTTATTCGTGGTGGCAATTGGATATTATCTGATGGGCTACTTCGACTTTCAGAAAAGCGTTATCATACAGACATTAAATTTCATGCAGATATGAATTTTAACATGATCCGTTGTTGGGGCGGTGGATTGGCCGAGAGGCCAGAATTTTATCATTATTGTGATACTTATGGCTTGTTGGTAAGTTAAAAAATTTCTTATATGCTTTCTTGATTAATTATTGGCTATTGCATTCTCTTACTCTATAGTTCTGTTGAACTAAGATCGAAATACGAATGTCGATCACTGTTGCAAATAAATTATTGTAGGTGTGGCAGGAGTTTTGGATTACTGGGGATGTTGATGGACGTGGTGTGCCAGTATCAAATCCTAATGGCCCTCTGGATCATGATCTTTTCTTGCTTTGTGCAAGAGACACAGTTAAACTTTTACGAAACCATCCTAGTCTTGCTCTTTGGGTCGGTGGAAATGAACAAGTTCCACCACCTGATATCAACGCTGCTTTAAAAAAAGACTTGGAACTTCATCCTCATTTTCAAACGTCAAGTGAAAATGAGAAGTGGATGGTAGATTCATCATCAGAATCAGAGGATCCGAGCCAATATCTTGATGGTACTCGCATTTATGTTCAAGGATCCATGTGGGATGGATTTGCAAATGGGAAGGGAGACTTTACTGATGGTCCTTATGAGATCCAATACCCCGAAAACTTTTTTAAGGATGATTTTTATAAGTATGGATTTAATCCTGAGGTTGGTTCCATAGGCATGCCCGTCGCAGCTACCATCCGAGCCACAATGCCTTCAGAAGGATGGGAGATTCCATTGGTTAAGAAACTCCCCGCTGGCTATGTAGAAGAAGTACCAAATCCCATTTGGGATTACCATAAATACATTCCCTATTCCAAACCACATAAGGTTCAAAGTCAGATTGAACTTTACGGTTCTCCAAAAGATCTCGATGATTTTTGTTTGAAGGTAAAATCGAAATTTCTGGTCTTGAAGTAGTGCCATGAAATTTTGTACAGTTAAGTTCATTTTCTAACATTCAAAACTTTCAGGCTCAACTTGCTAATTATATCCAATATCGAGCTCTAATTGAAGGCTGGAACTGTCGAATGTGGAAGAAGTACACCGGTTTCTTAATCTGGAAAACACAAAATCCATGGACAGGTCTAAGAGGTCAGTTCTACGATCATCTCCTCGACCAAACCGCAGGTTTCTTTGGATGTCGTTGTGCTGCGGAACCTATCCATGTCCAGCTGAATCTAAGCACGTGTTGCATCGAGGCAAGTTTTTCTAATATTTTAACATACTATCTTTTTTGGTCTGAAACAAACATAACTGGAAAAGTTCGGTCTTCAGTAGAACTTCAAATCCTCTCGTTATTTGTAAGGCTTCCATTTTCCTTAAATGTTTACATCTGCATTTCTCAACTAAACTGTGAAATGTTTCTGAATCTGTCTTGAACAGGTCGTAAACACTATGTCGGATGACATATCTGGCGTTGCCATTGAAGCCTCGGTATGGGATCTTGAAGGGACATGCCCATATTTTAAAGTTTTTGAGAAACTCTCCCTGCCTCCAAAACAGACATCGTCCATTGTCGAGATGGAGTATCCCAAATCCAAAGATTCCAAGCCTGTTTACTTTCTTCTTCTGAAGCTGTACAACGTCTCGAATTACGGTATTATCTCGAGAAACTTCTACTGGTTACATCAGTCAGGTGGCGATTACAAGCAGTTGGAGCCTTACAGAAAGAGTAACATACCCATTCAAGTTACATCTCAGGTTATAATAAAAGGATCCACCTATGAAGTCAGAGTGAATGTGCAGAACAAGTCAAAAAATGCAGAATCCTCTAGCTTAACCTACAAGAACAACTTTATCAATAGGCAAGGCGAGGGCGATCCCGATTCAAATTCTTTGCCTCTGGAAAACAAAGAACAGACCGATAAAAAACGCAGCACTGGTTTCTTTCACAGGATCTGCAGGCGTATCGTTACTGGAAGCAACAGTCCGAGGCTAGTTGAAACGAATGGAAACGCGGTCGGAGTCGCTTTCTTTCTTCACTTTTCGGTCCATAGTTCAAAGGCAGAGGGTAAAGAAGGAGAGGATACAAGAATCCTGCCTGTTCACTACTCGGACAACTACTTTTCCCTGGTTCCAGGTGAGGCTATGCCCATCAAAATCTCTTTTGAGGCCCCTCCTGGTGTTGCTCCAAAAATTACCCTTCATGGTTGGAATCTTTCTCATGGTTTAACTGTCTGTTAATATTTGGGTAGAATTTGGTTAACTTTAATTTAAACAGTATCGGGGCTTTAATCTTTAAGTTTAATTATCCCATTTTATTTTCAATGAACACTCATGAAGTTAATAATATTTCTTATGATTTGATTAAATCTTTTTAATTTAACCCATTCAAGTTCTTTGTTAGAATAAAGTTGGGACTTAAAATGTTACTATTTACACAAACTTATAAAGATTATACCGCGGATTTGAAATTGTTAAAGTTCTTATTTTAATTAATATTTATTTGATCTTATAGGTGATTTTGGAGTATTAAGATCAAAATTAGAAGTATATAAGACAACTAGAAATCAAACGAGGATCTCTACGAGACTCAAAAACTCGCATCGGCATGGGGCAATCTAAGTCGAGTCCGGTTGAGACCGTAAGGGCATGCATTTCATATGTTTACAATCCAATGAGTCTTAAGAGGAGGCAAATTTGACTTTAACTCTAGGTGAACAACCCTCACGTGAAAATTACGTGCATTTTTTTTGTTTGAATTTGTGTATCAATAGATGGAACAATATGTGTGGATTGTGAGTGTTCGACAAAGCATCTTGCCCATCGACATTGAGGATGAACAAGAAGGCGATGAATAGACATCATGCCTTAGATGAAGATAACTCACGTCAAGAATACTATTTGAGAAGGAAGATTGAGGATATTTCTCGTGCGATAACAAATTTGTCATTGGGAAATATCTCACCTCAACTATGCCCTCGGTAGAGCCGACTCAAGGAATTCAATACATCGAAGAAAAAGGTTTATGGCATGATCAAAACTTTGATGTGTATTCTAAAATCTTAGAACGATTTGTTCTAAAAGTTTGACGAAAGCAAAGAAAAGAGCGGGAATAGTTGAGTTTTATTTGAGAACCTGCTAACAAAAAAACTATTATGGAACTCTTAGATTCGATCTAACGAGTTTGCGAAGAACGTGACTCTAAGCTGCCATGAATTTAACAGTTGGTTCGACCAATTTTTTTATCTAAATTTTAAAAAAATTTAAATATAATTTTAACTGACAAATTATAAATTTAGTTCCTATATACCCACTTTTAACATTTTAAAATCTATTATGACATTCTTTCTATGGTGAAGTCCGGGCCAAAATTGTAAATAATGGAAAATAGAGGAGAAAAATGTAATAACGTAGAAGAAAAAAAGGGAAAATTAACGAACAAATAATAAATGAAAACTTAATTCAGTCTGGAACACGGAGATAGATCTCTGAGAAGACCCAGACGAAGAGGGAGAGGAAGAAAGAAGACGGAGAAGATGATGTCCGGTGGTAACTATACGACTATAGACAACCAAAATGTTTCAGGAGCTGTGCCTGTAAGCTTCTTCTCCTTTAGCTTTCTTTACCGTTTTTGGTTTTTGAAGTGAAGATATCGAATCTGCTGCATTTCTTATCCAATGATATTCCACTGTTGTCGAATCCGATCCATTTGATTGATTTCTCCACGTTCTGCGTTTTTTTCTCTCCAGGCCGTTCCAGATCAGGGACAAATAACTGTGAAATTCAATGGTACGTAATTTCTTATTTCTGATACCGTTTTATGGATTCTGAGAAAGTATGGGCGAATAAAGAAAAGGTTTGGAGGTTAGTGTTAAGTTGTGTGTGTGCGCGAGTGGAATTATAAGCCACTTCAAAATTCTTATGTGCTGAATTTTTCCGGTTCGTTGGCTTACCGGACAACTATAGGTAGGAAAAATAATCTATGCTTCTTGTTGGAAGTTTATGCTCTTTAGGATCCAAATTTGGTGTGTGATTTGAATGAAATTTGAAAACCTGGTGGTTTAAGTTGAGCATAGCAGACTCGCCGGTGCTAGATCTAAAGAATCTTTTAATAGACATTTTGATTTGAAAAATGGAAATGGATTTAATATTAGTTTTAACGAGGCCAGAAGCATTTCTGAAAGAAATTTTGACTAAGATCTGGCATTGCAGGAATGATATAGAATTAAATACTGGAGTGAAATTTTAATTTAATTGTAAATTATGAAGATTGAGGTCAAGTATTAAAGTTTCATCTTGATCCACTGACTCTGTGTTGTTTTTATTTTCTATTTGTTGCAAGAGGATACAATAACTGGTTGATTTATTATTGTAGACTCAAGTCTTCAAACATTTCCTCCTTCTGGAACTCAAGGAAAGATCACTGGTGGTTCCCAGCCTCCTCGTGATGCTGATGGTATTTAAAGATCTTTCTTTTATCTTCTAGTTTAATATTGCATATTCAAATTAGGTATGAGAAGGTGATTTTACTGTAAATCTCCATAGGTTTTCCACTGATCCAGAAAAAAGACCGATGATATCTTGTTCTGGTAGACTTAGATTGAGAGGCATTACAAATGTATCACTTACCCAATATGATGCGCGAGCAGATGAGTAGATGGTTTTGTAAATTAGTGAAGGGTCCTTGGTGGTCTGAGCACTCAAAATTTGTTTACTATATCATGAAGATAGTTCCTTATTACCTACAGACAACTTTCTCAGTTCGTGTCTAAAGTAGTTGTAGATAATGAACTTCCCATTATATTATTGTTACAATCTTCTGGGACTTCTGTAACCCTTGGCTTTTGCATCTGTATACTTTATGTTAATTTATGTTTCATTTGGCATGGTGGTTAGATTGCTTTTTAGTTGAGAAGTTCACGACATGATCTCATCAAGATGCATCTCACTTTAACGGGCTAATGATATCCTCAGTTTGACATAATGCAATCAGAACTTATCAGATTTATGGGCAATTGATAATTATGTTGTAGTTCATTAAGGGGTCATAGGACTTCATTAAACTGGGAAAGACATGGGTTTATTTGTGCCATGAAAAGAGAATAAATTGAATGTTTATTTCAATTTTGTTTCTGTTTTGACATACAGGCGATATGTATATAGATATATTTCTAGGGTAACAACATTATTTTCTACCAGAGCCGGTGAAGCAGCTGATCGTACCTTGACTTGTATGATATATAATAAGGGTTTTAGTTTGAGCTAATAGGGAAGTTTATCTGATGCAGATACATTTTCAAAACCAATCTCTGGCTCTGATGAAACCCCCCAACAAGGTGGCTGGCTTCGGACCTTTGCAATTTCTTCCTACAAACAATATTTTGATGTCGATACTTCAGATGTTCTAGAGAGGATCAAAGATTCACTTTTTCCATTCAGAGGAACTTTTAATGAGAGGACAGCTGACACTCCAGATCTGTAAGTTGTATAACCGCACTAATGTGTCATCTCACTGAATATTGACTGTTGCTCATTATTGCAGTATGTTACTCAAATATTTACCTTTGAAAAGATAATTTCCGTGGGTTTGGGTTTGAATTTTTTGTAGACAATGTACTTTGTAGAAGTTTTCCAAACGATAAAAGAGTTAAATTTTTAATTGTAACTATAAATGGTTGCCTTAAGTTTCATGAGGAAGTTTTCTCTAGATGTTGACTTCACTAATGTTCCGTAAAGAGTTTGGGAAAAGAAATCGTACCAATAGTCATTCATTGTGTGAACTCAAGTTGAGTATATACTTTCTTGGCAGTTGCTGATTGCTATTTTTAAAGAGTTTTTCTTGTTCTGTTAGACTTAGATTGAGACAGAATGTTCTTTCAGACTTCACTTTTTTTCTTTCCCTTTTGATAAGAATCCACGTTTTATGATACTTGTTCATTACAAGTGCAATACATGTGAAATATTCCATTTAAGTTTTGGTTTTTATACAAAATAATTGTGCAATTCTGATCTATGTGAAATTTTGTGTGTTAAATAAGCGGTTCTTAATGAGGTTCTTACTTCAAATCATTTAACAGTTATTTGGTTAATACAATTCTGATGTCTATAAAAGAAATTATTTAACCCTTAGCTAAAAGTAAGCTCTTGATGAATGTAGATGTGGTCTTTATATCATATACACGTATATTCATGGACTTATTATAGAAATAAAGCTTGAAGTTAACTAACGACCTGCTGGTTAATATCAATACTTAAAGAGTCTTCTTGTTTTCTTTTAATAAATGGCCACAAAGGAAGTAGCTATGGAACAAGCTCCAAATTAATAATGATATACATACTTTTATACCTGATAATGTATAGACTTATAAAATTTAAAAGTTAACGACTCGTAAACAATAATAATAAAATCAAAGACGAGTCTTCAGAAATCCAATGTTTGTACTCTTAATGTTGCATATTTTAGTAAAACTACAATACAATAAGTATTTAACAACATAATTAATATTGAAGTATTGTTGTGATTGGAAAAGGCTAAACTTAACTTTTACACTTTAGAATTAGGGTAATTTAACTAATATTAACATGTACAAGTATAAAGGAAAGAAATAATTGAATGAATGGGCACCTTTGGTAATTTATGTGAAGAGATGGAACAAAATAGTCCAATTATGACTCTGTATCATTCACCAATAAAAAAAAATGTTGAAGGTGACAGAACAGTTAAAAAAAACAAATGAACCTCTTTAAAGAAAGGAATTCAAAATTATGGTAAACTCTTCAGTTTATCAATATAAAAACAATCCTGCAAACGCACTTAATATTCCCGTGTATGTCTATAAAACTCTTCTTTCTTTTGCTCCAGAATTTGCTCTTTCTGTAATGCTTTCTTAACTCCATTTGCTTGATGACTTTGTTTATAATGGTAACGAGGGAAATTATTTTATCCCGAAGGCTCATGCTCTTTGATCATAATTCATTTTCTCATGCAGATATGGTCCATTTTGGATATGTACTACGTTGATATTTGTGGCTGCTTCTATTGGAACTTTTGTAACATACGTGGCACACAAGATACATAAAAAAGAATGGAACTACGACATAAATTTGGTAACCTGGTCTGCTGGTTTGTTCTATGGCTATGTTACCATTGTTCCTCTTGGACTATATGTAATCCTCAAGTACTTCTCGGTGCCTTCTGGCCTTGTTCAGCTCTTATGTCTCTATGGCTACTCTTTATTTGTATTCATCCCGGCACTGGTAAGTTTAATTAATTAGTCCATGATCAATACTATTACTTACTACAAATTACATGTTCAAAATTTTGTCCCTCTTGAAATCACCCGTCCTTCCCATTCCCATTATGAAAAAAAAAACAAGTACAGTAAGCAGTAGTTCTCAAATGCATCTTTGTAGTTCAATATGTTCATAGTGCCTCATCTTTTAAGAAAAATGATCATAATTTCTTTATGCTTGTGTTGTTTAATAATTAGGAAGCATACAACTCCTTTCATTTTCTCTTACTTTCTTTCTGGTACAACATTTGACATGGTTTCGTGTCTGGTGTCACTCTCTCATTTGCTTCTTACATGTTTGTTGGGTAAATGAATTTCCTTAGGTTTGTGATGTTTGTCTGTCCCATCAACACAGAAGTTAGAGTAAATAAGGCAGGAGTACGTTTTTTTGTCTATTATCAACCATGTGAGTATGAAGGATCATTTTATAGACTAGGGGTACCTGTATAGAGTTAACCATGATGGATTGGCATGACGGTCAATAAGGGCCCTGTGAATAGTAAGGGCTAAAATGAAATGAGTTTAAATTATTGTAGACATCTACTTAGGATTTAATATCCTACGAGTTTTCTTTGCAACCTAATAGTAGGTTTCAATGGTTACCCATGAGCATAGTCAAGGTCTGTCCAAGTTAGCATGGACATTCACAGATATTGGAATAAATAGGGTACTTGGATTTGTATTTAGTTCTCTGCACTTAAGATAAGAATTATATTGGCTATGAAATTTCTTAATGAAATCTCTTTAAACTGTTTGTATGGTTATGGACTTCTTTTTTTATTTATAATTTGAGGGTATATTATGTTGGCTGATCATGATGGAACTCTTTCTTTCTCTTATACACCTGTTGGCACTGATAGTTCACCTCTTCGCTATCCTATCCTCTGCTTGTAGGATGTCACCTCTTTTATATCACAAATGTAGGGTTGACAGCAGTGGAAATGAAAGAAAAATTTGACTTCTGATCATACTTATAGGGTTGCATAGTTTGACTTCCAGATGTGGGAAGATCACGGTTCATTTCTTTCTTTTTCCAAAGAGCATTCCTTGATTTTGTTGCGTGGTAGCTTCAGAATTTAACATGTCACATTGTCTCTATTGTGTTGCATCTGTGTCCTGTGTCCGTGTTTGTGCAGTCTTAGGTGCCACTCTTATTGGTGTGTTTGTGTAGCTCCTTTCGTATACAGTTTCGTTTGTCATTCTTTCGTAGAAAATTTGTTTCCTATTCACAACAACAATAATATTAAAGCCTGTGGTGAGTTTACATAACCTTTTTACAGTACCTTTGACCTTTTGTGTTGATCTTCACGATACCAAGAAAGATATCAACTAGTTTTTTTGTTACCCAATCGTTGAACTTGATACATTAATCTCTATTATTTGGTGGCTCAAACGTGTGTTGGGTTTGTTGTATTTGCAGTGTCTCTCCATTGTCCCTCTGGAAATTTTCAGATGGGTTATTGCAGGCGTGGCAGGATTCATGTCTGCATCATTTGTGGCACTCAATCTCCGAGCTCACATAAAGTCAGCTGGTGAAAGTTGGATTTTGATTGTGGCCAGTATCTTCTTGCTGCAGTTAGCTCTTTCTGTCATTCTCAAACTGTATCTGTTTACTGTTACAGTATGAAACTAAACTGCCCCGCCCTCGATAAAACAGAATGTAGATTACAAAGATGAATTTCTTTTGGGGCCATTGGTTTCCAGTACTTACCAATGTTTAGCTAAACCATATCATTCATTGATTGGAGAACATCTATCTTATATATATGTTCCATAAGGTCAATAGATTCTTCTATCTTCATTACAAGAACATGTGGGATTTAATCATCTCTAACCTATCCTATATTGCATTTTCCATTTCATCCGGTTGGTCCCTTTATGGTCGAGAAGGTGTGGACATACCTCCATTCTTTCAAGCGGATGACAGAAGGTATGCTTTATTATCCCTCTACATTAATGATTATACTTTTTCTAGCCTTTAGGTCCCATTTTATAAAGATTTTGTTTTTAGTTTTCTGGATTTTTCCATAAAAGAAGAATTATATGCTTTATTGTCCTACTACGTTAATGATATATTTTTCTAGGTTTGAGGCCCATGTTGTTTTTAGTTTCTAGTTTTTTTAGTAAGAATAGTTGTGGTTACTCCTTAATTTTGTCAAATAGGAAAAGAAAAAGGAGTTCTGAGCCATTTAAAAAAAAATTAAAATAGGTATTTGAAAACTTCTGATCTCATGAAAGATGTTTTGTGGGTGTAAATGACATTCTTAAGAACAAACTGTTGTTTGTGGGTGTAAATGGCATATTCTTCATAACAAATTGTAGTTTTTGTCGGTGTAGAATTTCATAATAGAGGTGTTAGTGGGTCCATGTGTGACATGAGGGTGAATTCTTTTCAGTCCTTAATGTAGGAAGGAAATATTATTGTTTTCCAAGTCACTGGGGGCCTCAATTTCTAATAATTTTAGCATTTTATATAAACAAATCAAGATAGAGCTCTTTGACCCCATCAGGTCTTAGGATTTTCAATTCTCCTACCATGATTAAATAATTGAATTATTTATTTATTTATGAAATATAGGGACTAACATGTATAGATAAAGTATGAGAGCTTAGTATATAAAAGAATTTAAAACAAAAATAAGTTGATATACAAAAGCAAAAAATTTGAAAAATAAGTTGACTCCCAAGTAGATGAAGGGTACATAAATGAATTGAAGACTAAATTTGAATGAGGGCGATCTTGAAGATAGGATAGTTAAGAAAAACTTTTTTTAAAAATTGAAAATTACTATAGCATCTTCCTTTTTAGTAGCTTAATTATAAAACAACTATAAAGTTAAATGTGTTTATTTGGAGTAATTTTATATTAGGTACCTCTTAAAAATTTTCCTTAGATTCATGTGAGTGAGAACAAAATATGTTTGTGTTGATAAAAGTGGGGAGCAAGTAATGTGACTATTTCATAGGAGATACAAGAGAATGTCGGAGGCCATATTTAATGGGCTTTTATTTATTTATTTATGTTTGTGAAAAGAATGGTAATGTTCATTATTATTTAAGAGTTTGAATTAATTTCAATTTGGTTCTTCTAATTAGTTCGAAATTTCATAATAAACATTTATATTCTTTTATTTTTTATTCAACTCTAAACCCTAATACAACTAAAATAGTTACCCGTACGAAGCTGCAAAGTGAAAAAATCCGTCATCCTTGCTAAAGTGTGCCTAAGAAAAGCTTGGGTCCATGAGTGTTAAAAAAATCGAATAAAAGTCTTATTAGACTAATGTTTAGAAACTAAATTTGTAATTTAATCTAAAGTCGTCTAAAACATAAGCATACAAATAAATGGGGCAATGTCCAAAAGTTTGAATCTCCACTCATCTATGTCAAGCTTCTTGTGGCATGGCCATGGCGATGAATCGATTTGTCTACCTTTTTGGTTGGTGATGTGGTTCATGAAAATGGGGCGAGTGAACTCAAATTCAATACAGAAGGGAAATTAAATCAAACTAACAATAATCAGATTTGCCAAAGAACATAAACTCCAAAATGATGGTAAACATGCATAAATCAATCTCTTCTTTCTTGTTGACTTCAGTTTTTTCCCCAGAAAACTATTGAAAACGCTCCCCATGCATCTAACGATTATAAAAATGATAGCTATAAATTATACCAAAACAGCGTTCAATGGCAATATCTCATCTCAAACCTAACAATCTGAATTTTCTAAATAAGAGTTTCCAGACCAAGTTGGAGTGGTCCATGAATTTCATTATTGGGGTCAGCTTTGGGCTTGCTTGACAGGGTTGATGAAAACGATTGGCAGCCCTGCAAAAGCCCAAGAAAATTGGTTTAGAATCCGAACATATTCGCTCTCAAATTAGCTTCGAAAACACTCGTTTCAGTCTAAATAAAATCAATTAAGAACCCAAGTCAATCTCAGAAACGAATGCCAAGCTTCTCTAAATCAGAAAATTCAATCTAACTCTTTTATAGAGAGAGTACCCACAATTGAAGCATATAAATAAGAACAGCCATCTGTTACTAGTGTCGTGATAACTTCATACCCACCAAAAAGATAATTTGAAGTTCCAACAATACTGTGAGTAATATATCCTTTCCTTGAGTCAGAAATTTTATAAATCAAATGGGAGAGAAGAAAATTATGCAATCAGGCCTTCGATTTCTTCCCTTTGGCATCGCTTGTTGTTGGTTTCGCCTTGAAGGGCATAAAAGTTTTTCCACCCATAAATGGTTGTAGAACTTCTGGTATTTCCACCCCATCTTCTTTCTGGTAGTTCTCAAGAATGCAGCACAAAGTCCTTTCTGTTGCTGTGAGCGTGGAATTCAGCATGTGCACATATTGCTTTGTCTGCTCGTTGCTCTGCAAATATTGGAAAGGAAAAGAAAGATTATTGGTTTCTTCCTTGCACTCGTAAGATTGCATCCATGTAGTTTGTATACTTTTAAGAGATCTCAATGTTGTCTGTCGTCTATGTGCTTTTACAATGTTCATCGTTAATCCCTCAACTTCCAAGGTTGGATCTATCTAATTCTTGTAATTGAAAAGGTTTCTAATAGTTTTCTCTACCAAGTTACTCTCATTTTGTGTCTAATGGATCACTAATAGGTCACTGATGTTAAAACAGTCAATTTCGTGCATATGAGGCACGTTGACTGTAATATCTAAGTGTTTAGTGGCGAGTTGATTTTAGGCTGGTTTAGATATTGTGTGGCCTCAGCATTAAAACTTAAATCAGAACAGTTACTGTGTGGCATAGGCATTAAAGTTATAGAGAGTTATTAAATACAGAATTAAAAACTCAAAGGGCATATCAGAATCTTTTGAAGATATAAGGACTAAAAGAGACAAGTCAAATGTTTAAACTCCTTTTAACTTTTTAAAACAATAAAAAACTTGATGAAACACAAAGAATGGACGCAGGACCTGAAAATTCAATACTAAACTCAACTTGCAAGAATGTCAGAATCATATACTTTGTAAAAATGGGAAACTGAATGTACAAAAGCATTAAAAAAACCGAACAAAAAGAATCATAGTCACAGACGTAATTAGCTATAAGAATCAATTCCTCCCTATTAGAAGCCTATTAAAACGTTAGTACCACCGGGTTTAATTTTAATGACAGAAATAAACCCTCCAATAATTTAGAAGTAAGAAATGAACTAACCTTTTTCTGACCAAATCGGGTCTCTAATCTTCTGGACTGATAATCAGTGCAATTTGAACAGGATACTAACTCCCTGTAAGTATGGGATGCAGGAAACCATGCTTCCAGATCGTATTTCTTGGCAGCCGCATCATTTAATGCACCAGAAACTATAGCCACAACTTGGTATGGGAGATTTAACTGCCAAAACATTGGATTTCACATCAGACAGAATATATAACTAACCTCTTCCTAAGATCTCTCGACTCCTCTAAAAATAACAATATTTCTCGTTTAAGCAAATGTTTCACAAAATAGCCAAATAAACCAGCTTGCAAACATGGAAATTGTAATTATGTAAAAAAGAAATCACTAACATAAGGAATAGAAGTTAGATACCGTCTTGTAGAAGTCCTCAGAATTCTTAATCATCTCTTCATGCATGTCCCACGAATCATTGCCATTTGGGCTGGTGACACAAAATTGCTCTATTTTCTCGAATTGGTGGACTCGGAAAATTCCAAGAGTATCTCGACCATGGGAACCCGCTTCTTTGCGGAAGCAAGTTGAATACCCAGCATATCTGTGTAGATCATAAACAATGGTAAATTTTATTTTTTAAAAAAATGCATTCTTACGGTGTCAGAGGGTGGACAGGCTTTCAATGAGACGTAAGAACCTTATAGGCAACTGGGAAGGATGAATCCAATCTTCAAGATGATATGAACAAATTGGTTGTTCAGCAGTGGCAATTAGATACTTATCATCCCCCTCACCAGTAACCTAATTAACATCAATTAATTCAGTCACATTTTGTCACGTTTTCACAGGCCAACAAAGCAAAAAACTGTACTGCTAATTTGTTCTGAAATACAGTTAAACACTGTACTACCAAAGAAGGAAATCAGTATGGTTATGTTTGGAATAAAAAAAAACATATAAGAAATGATTTTATATCACATGATATGAGAAACTAGAAATGATTTTAAAATTGTTGTGGTTTAATATGAGAATGATTTGAAATGAATTTGAATTCGTTTGTTCAAGTGTTAATAAAATGAAAAAGAAAATTCATAATTGGCAATTGACATTGAAATCCTGTAAAATCCTTCGTGTTAAAATTCTTGAGAAACAGGATTTTAAATCAAGATTTAATTTCAAGAAATAAGGGATTCATTTCAAATTCATTAGAATTTAAAATTCCTTAAAATTCCATGGAAACAAGATGAGGGTAATAACAGACTTTATAAAGTTCTTCATCAAATTGTGCTAGTTGAGCACATCTAGCCATGATATCTTTTCTCATGAAGAAAGGAGTCTGCATTGCTGTGTAACCCCTTTTCTCTAAAAAGTCGAGGCCATAATTGATCAAAGCTTGGTTCAAACGCACACCATCTCCTTTGAGGTAGTAGCCTCTACCACCTGCTATTTCAGAACCTACATATTTCCATCAAGTTGGAATTAGCATAAAAGTGAACATCTAGAGCTGAAAAAAGCTACATAAAATCCTTCCAATTAACTAAAAGATAATTCTGTCTATTCAATCTGTAATTTGTAACCAGAGTAAAAATAAAACCAACTTAGAGCATGTATAAGAACCGTATCTCTGAAACTATCAAAAGAGATAAATTTCATTGAAAGTGTGGTTGTTCCATTTGATTATAATGTCCCAAAAAAGGCTCTAATAGTCGGCAAAATAACATCTCCTTGTTCTTTATTAAATAAGTGACCCAACAAAAGAGAAAATAAAAGAAATTTCATATGGATATGGAGAAGGGAAAACAAGAGGGGGCAAACAAAAGATTCCACGAAGTATGAAGAAACAAATGTTCTGGAAAAGGATTACAGCTGAACCAACATCCTAAATCTAAAGCTTGTCAGACTAGATGGTTAACTTGAAACATATATAATGCAGATAGCATATGACTCTTGTTACTCTGAGATTTCAGTTAATATAGATTTGAATGAAGACCATAAGATCAAACACCTAATGCCACAGAAAAATTAATAGAAGACATAAAAGGCTGAATCTTGTATTCATAGAAGCCTGTAAATTTCAATACCTTTTTTGCTATCTGCAATTCCAAGAAGCTCAACAAGATCAACATGATTCTTTAGTTTTGGTTTTACCAGTTTCTCACCCCACGATCTGATTACAGCATTATTAGCCTACAAAATGTCGCTAAGTACAATATTAAAAATTTAAACAAAAAAAAAAAAAAAAAAAAAAAAGGATGGCGCTACTAAGAATAGAACAAAGGCAGATATCCCAAATACCACACCTCATCATTGCTGACGGGAACGGAATCGTGCACAAGGTTTCCAATTATTTCCAATTTTGAATTCAACTGTTTTAACACGTCCTTAGCTTCAACGTCTTTCTCTGCAGACAACTTTTTGTTTTCTTCAGTGTCTTTAATCTTCTCCGACGCATCCTCACCAGCCTTCATTCCCAAAATTTTCAAAGTAAATAATGGAACGTATTAAATCCCCAAATCGGAAACTGACAATGTCCTAGACTTTCAAATTAATGCTAGTTCCAAATCTAATTTGTCATGCAACCAATATAGAGAAGATTAGATGTGGAATCTAAACCCGCAGAAAAGAAAGCACAAATAGCTTTGAAGAAAAAAGATAGATGCGTTACTATTCTGAGCTGAGCAATTTGCTTGTTAATCTTATTGAACTCCTTCCTGAGATTCTCAAGCTCAAATTGGCCTAAACAAAATCGAATTCCAAAAAGAAAAATAAGAAAAAGTAACAAATAACGGTAGAAATGAAAGCGATGGAAAAGATTGAGGGGATTACGTTGACGCCATTCCTTGTCAAGCTTAATTACTTCATCAACGAGTTCAACGCTGGCAAATCGGCGGCGTTGAGACTCGCGAATGATTTCAGGATTGTTGCCCTTCTCTTCCCTGAACAAATTGATGTCCAACATCTCTGACTATCCGCCTCTGAGATTCCCCCTTCCACAGCACGACGAATAAATTCCAAAAACTGCAATCTTGAGCGAGGGAGAGACAGAGAAAACGCTTTAACCTGCAAAACCCTAAACCTGAGAGTGAGATTATAACATTGGCCAAAATTAGGGCCGAGGATCAATCCGGTCCAACCGAGCCGGTCCTTCTTTGGACAAACCGGATTCCAACGGTTGGCTCTCATCTATAGTATAGGCTTGCAGTTTAATTTAAAAATAAAAAATAAAAAAGTTTCATTTTAATGAGATAAATTGAAATAAGTTATTTGTTTATTGCTATTGGAAGTGACTCCTGACTATGATGCCATTAAGAGCTCCAAATTAAGCCTACTTTCGATAGATATTTGTTTATTTAGCTATAACGAGTTACATTTGAGTATACTTTGGTGTAACTTTAGTGTTGGGCGTGAGCTTAGCAACAAAGTGAATCTGATGTTCCCGCTGCTCTTAGCAAACTTTGAAGTTTTTGGATGATATTCTTCAAGTGGAGTGTGCTTAATATAGTTGTAAAGACTCGGGTAGGCAACGAAATGAGATCCTCGAGACATTATTAGGCCCGTGGGGTTGGGAACGATTTTCAATAATGGCTCCTCAATGTTGTCACATCAATGATTATGGATACATATTTGGCCTCCTTGGACTCAACTTGGTACATGCTTATTGAAATTGATCTTACATACTTCACTCTCTAATAATCATCTATACCTTCCTATATTAGATGATTGGGGAGTCGTATACTAATGTAACATTCACATTACTTAAAGATGTTTACGAAGTAATGTAGGGACAGGAAGTCTTTTTGGTCTCCATTTTCGTGAAATTCTCCATTTGTTTTTGTGGGGATTGGATTCTTGTCTCGACCCGATTTTCGAGGGTTTGAAAAAATCGAATCGTGACTAAAAAGACGAAATCTAAACAAACAAAAAGAAAATAAAAGCAAAGAAAAGTAAAATAAAAGATAAAAATATCATTTAATTAAAACAAAATAGAGAAAAGATTTGTTTCAAATTATTACAAAAGGAATTACTAATATAAAATGAAATACGAAAGACCGACAAGGGACTGACGCTTCGGAATGACACCCCTCTGTGACAGTGCAACTCTTGAACACCTCCCCGTATCGACTGGTACCTGAAAAAAAAAAGGGGAGAAAGGGGTGAGTATAAAAATATACTCAGTAAGCAACCTACTTGTAGGCTCTTTTCCATTCCTTATCTTAATAAGTATCCACGGTCTTATTTCTGGGTTCTAGTGAGTGCTAATCACGCTACAACTCTCTTTTCTGTATCTTAGGAGACTTGCCCATCTTATGCAATAGAATGATCAGTGTCCTGAGGCGAGGCGCGACCTCATAAGTAAATCTGAGGGGATCGTATGACTGGATCTGAATACGTTACTCTCTCTGAACATCATCCGTGGAGGTTAGCTGACAACCCTCACACGGGACCATACATCCACTAAATTATGGGTGTGACCCCTTGTATGTCGGTTGTCACAACCATAGTATGAAGAGAGTAGGTTGTAACCCTCACGCCATGACAAGCAAAGGGGCGTCCCTCAAGAGACGCCCCATCCGGCCATATGCGGGCCAACATAGAAGAATGCCATGATGCGATCGAGGAGGACGTGCATCATCCAACACACCACCACGCAAAGTGGGTATTGAAGAAATGTTGAGACATAAGCATAACAGAGACTTCAGCATAGACATGAAGGACAAGATAGGCTTGTTGAAGGGCCGGGTAGGGCCTCAGGCCTTAACCTCAAAAGTCGGAGTTTTGGAAGGAATTTGGGCATGCGGTTCGGGAGTTAAGTCCGTCCATATGAAATATGAATGCTCGCCAAGTTTGGTGTCAATCGGACATTGGACGGACCATGCGCGACACCGTATGACACCTCACCAAAACCATGTCTACACTTGGTAGAATGAAAATGGCTCAAAATATACTATATTGGGTACCATGGTGTTAGCTCTCCACCACCCCTGGGCCCTGTGGCCTAAGTGATCTACCCTATGGCACATACGTGTGTCACAGTGTGAGCGAGCGTGCCGAGACGAGTGTCTCGGGCGACTTCGTTTGAAATAGGTTTTTGAAGGACAATACCGGACGACACGAGTGTGCTGGTATTGTGCCCTAGCCCGCGTGTTGGAGGTTGCTACATACACCCGCTATCCAGTACAGTATCCGTAAATGACTCGACATGGGCACGGGAGGGTCTATGCCTCGATAAAACCCGGATGGATGGATATTTGGGAAGTTCCGATGAGGTGAACGACACGCGGGCCCATTCTCGATGGCATGACCGAATGAGTTATGATGGCCGACGACATCCTGAGACTCGGGATGGCGTCAAGACATATGGACCCTATTGATGGGGATCGAGATGACAAGATGAGATGCGATGTTATATTGAGAGACCTGGGCCCGAGTAGAGGCAAGGTTGAGCCGAATGAGTTGGCCTAGCGTGGAGGCAAGTCGGATGTGTCGCAGACGATAGAACATACACGCACAGGCGGCGTATGTGGTTGAACAATCTTGGATTCTGCACAAGGGATGTTCGATTGGCGAAGACAAACCTCGCCTAAGGTCCGACGAAGCCACAAAGCCGGGGCGAAAAATACATATGGGGCTTAATTCCCCTTAAGGCTAGTCGTGAGCGTGTATAGATCACGACGCCACACGGTCAAGAAGTTAGGACCGTGACAGTTGGTATCAGAGCCACACTTTGTGTGTCTAGTCGGGCAAGACAGTCAAGTGAAATGAACCCAAGAGTTGATCGAAGACCTTACAAATGTGTCAAGAGTGCCGAAATAAGCAGGATAGTTGCCGGTCAGAATTATAATTAGTTGGGGGTTGAAGCCAAGACTACTGAGGTTCATTAGTGTCGTGTGTCGACACCTCAATATGGGGAGATCTACTCACCAAGCAAAACTAAGCTCACCTGACAAGAACTTGCAGTTCCGAAGTAAGAAAAGACAGATGAAACAGAAAGCACCATGACGGTGCCTTCCAAAGAACCATTCACATTAGAGGAATAGTGACAGTGGTTGCAAGCAGAGAAGCCGAGAGTCGAGAAAAGACAAGCGTCGGCCAAGTACAAAAGTTGTACACAATGTAAGTCCTTATGGGGGGGACAACCTTGCGGCAAAGAGGCAGTTGAGTTCGAGCGGGGGAGAGCAACATCAATAAGTCTCTCACCCCGTAAAGGTATTCAGACATACGAGCACACGTGTATTCCTTGAGCCACCACGTTGTGCCTAGGGTGGATGACTCCACAAACAGATGTCAAGACCAATATTCGCTCGAGAAGTGAGCATCAAGCTAGAAGTTCAAGTACAACAATAGTCACACGAAGGTGGAAAAGTACAAAGAGTTGGCCGAAAGACAGAGCCAACAACTGAAGAGACTGTCAAAGAGTTTGACTTTGCTCAATAGGAGGAGTGGTTGCTTCCAAAGAGTGTTGCGGATGGGTTTGCGATCCCTACCCCGAGGGGTGCACTAGTTCACAGGAGAAGTGGTCACGACCAAAGAGTGTCGCGACTGGGCTTGCGAGCCCCACCCCGAGGGGTGCACTAGTTTATGTGATCCACAGAGGATACACACACTGGGGCCAAGTTGGCCACAATAGGGCAAAAGTGCCCTTCTAAGTCCATAGTCGGCTGGGGAGTGCCTGCAAAGAGAGTTTACCTCACCCACAACTATGGCAAACGCTAAAGAGTCACGTCTACGTTGCGAGTCTCGGTGGCCGAGTCCAAGATGGGCGAACAATAGAAATAGGTCCGAAGGGGGATAGTTGTAGATAAAGGAACAAGCCAAAGTGAGGCAAGTTCACCCAACAACTGACCAAGTCAAGAGTCAGACCGTGGTGCCATCTGACAAAAAGAGAAGTCAGAAGCATCCACTCGAACTTGTCCTAAGTTGGCACAAGACGTCAGCAAGAAGAGTATTATGACAAAAGATCGTCAGGTGCTCAACAATAGTATACTTTTCTGAAGCACAACCAAATCCAGCGAGTCGAGTCTCCAATAGATAAAGAGTTGGATCATCATCGGGACGATGCCGAGATTGAGTGGGGGAGAATTTCACCATAGGTGGGGCGAATGCGCCCGAGAAAGTCATCGAGGATGATGACGAAATTAAGTGGGGGAGAATGTCACAATCTACAATATGATTGTGACTCGAGTAAGTCATCGAGCATGATGACTAAGTTAAGTGGAGGAGAATGTCACAACCATAGTATGAAGAGAGTAGGTTGTGACCCTCACGCCATGACAAGCAAAGGGGCGTCCCTCAAGAGACGCCCCATCCGGCCATATGCGGGCCAACATACGATGCTTCATCCAACACACCACCACAAAAGTGGGTATTGAAGACATGTTGAGACATAAGCATAACAGAGACATCAGCATAGACATGAAGGACAAGATAGGCTTGTTGAAGGGCTAGGTAGGGCCCCGGGCCTTTACCTCAAAAGTCGGGGTTTTGGAAGGAATTTGGGCATGCGGTTCGAGAGTTAAGTCCGTCCATATGAAAGATGAATGCTCGCCAAGTTTTGTGTCAATCGAACATTGGACGGACAATGCACGACACCGTATGACACCTCACTAAAATCATGTCTACACCTGGTAGAATGAAAATGGCTCAAAATGTACTATAGGGGTACCATGGTGTTAGCTCTCCACCACCACTGGGCCCTGTGGCCTAAGTGAGCTACCCTGTGGCACATACGTGTATCACAGTGTGGGCGAGCTTGCCGAGACGAGTGTCTCAGGCGACTTCCTTTGAAATGGGGTTTTGAAGGACAGTACCGGACGACACGAGTGTGTCGGTATTGCGCCCTAGCCCGCATGTTGGAGGTTGCTACATACACCCGCTATCTGGTAAGGTATCCGTAAATGATTCGGCATGGGCACGGGAGGGCCTATGCCTCGATAGAACCCGGATGGATGGATGCTCGGGAAGTTCCGATGAGGTGAACGACACGCGGGCCCATTCTCGATGGCATGACCAAATGAGTTATGATGGCCGACGACATCCCGAGACTCGAGATGGCGTCAAGACATATGGACCCTATCG